ACTCTATTACAACAAGAAATACTTTAGAGAAAATAGAAAATTAATTACAAAGCCTTGTATTTATTAAAAAAAATTTCAAAAAATTGAACAAATGTTTCAACACGAAGTTTGTGTTGAAATTCCAAATGCTTTTTGGAATAGAAATTCATTTATAGTTAGTCTACCTTATGTGGAAGGCTTTCATGAAAGTCAAATTCTCACTAAGATTACACCGATGCAAATGACTAAAGAAATTCTTGAATATTATGAAAAAGATATACAAGGATTTTTAGATAAGAATTTAATAAGGTCAAGCAAGTCGTCGTGGAATTGCCCAACCTTTATGTACAAAATGTTTCAAAAATAGGGTAAGGAAAATCGGGCATGGTTATTAGTTACAAACTTTTAAATAATGTTTTAAAATAGATTAAATATCTTCTTCCTAATAAACAAGATTTGATAAATAGACTTTATCAAGCAAGAATTTTTTCAAAGTTTGATATGAAGTCTAGATATTATCAAATTAAAGTTAAAGAAGAAGATAAATATAAAACTATAATGCCAATAAGTTTGAAAAATGCTTCTTCAGAGTTTCAAAATATTATAAATAATACCCTAAATCCTTATTCTGAATTTTTTGTTGCTTACCTTGACGGTGTTATAAATTTTTCTACATCAATAGAAAAACATATAAAACAATTAACTACTATCAAAAACCTTATTAAGCAAAACAAAATTGTTATTTTCGTCCATAAAATAAAATTAGTCCAAACAAAAATATGTTTTCTAGGTCATGAAATTTTTAAGGAAAAATCACACATATTAAACAAAGTATTGAATTTGCTAACAAATTTTTAGATGAGATAAAAGATAAAAATCAATTACAAAAATTTCTGGGAGCTTTAAATTATGTATCTATTTTATTCTCAAAATTAGGATTATTTATAAAGTTTTATTCAATAGACTTAGAAAGAATCCTAAACCATGAACTCCTGAATTATTTTCATTGAACGAATTTAAAAGATTGTCCCAATCCTTATCTTCAAAATGAGGACGATTGTTTTGGAATAGAACTTGCCTAAAATTTAGATGATTGAAGGTGGTCCTAAAAGATATCCGAATTTGCCTCTATAATTATTGTTGAACAAATCAACCTTACAAAAATATCTTTGACTATGAATGAAATAAAAGCAATATTAAAAATAAAAAAAAAGGGTGAAAATAAAATTAAAAAAAAAAAAAGAAAAATAAAAAAAAAGGGTGAAAATAAAATTAAAAAAAAAAAACAGAAAAGCTAAAAGGAAAAGAAAAAATTGAGTCCTTAAATCAACACAAAGCAACAAAAATTCTAATTCAAAAGAAAGAATTCAAAATCATAAGTACAAAAAGACAAAAGTCGGTCTGAGAAAAGAATATTATCTAGAAAAGAATTATATCCAAAATTGTCAGTTAGCAGGAGCTAACAACAAAGGCACCTTCGAAAAGGAATCATATCTCTTCGTCGTGCGATTCCTGGTGAAAATTTTTTTTTGCATTCCATTATCCTGTAATTATAAATAACCCTAAGATGTATGAAAAAGACATCGATCAGTTCACCAAAAAACAAGCCTTTATTCTCTCCCTTTCCCAAAAAAACCTTCAACTTAGCAATTTCTTTGTAATTTCTCTCTAGAATTTCTACTTGTATTCAAATACTTTGTAAGTAAATAAAATCTTTTCAATATCTCTTGTTCTAAACTGCATATTCTTGTTCAAAGAATTCAAGAAGAACATGAATTATTAACTATAGAGTTGAAAGTTGAGATTCAATTATATTTTGATAATAATAATAATAGTTTTGCTTATAGAAATCCTTTTACCATTTTAGATAATATTAATCAATTATAAAATGATATTAAGAGGAATAGAAATCTTTTAAAGAAACCTTACATTGCATAATTATTTCTATGCTTCTACGTTACAATGTATAATCTGTGTCAGAAATGGTATTAGAGTCTAACGATTTGAATTTTGACAAAGAAATATATTCCCTCCGTTTTTTATTCATAGTCGTTTAAGGTTTTGTACGGGATTTAAGAAAATGATTTATATCTTAGTTTTCAAAAATATTTATTACTTATTTTCTTATTTTACCCTCTATTTTTTTATAGTATTTCGTTGGAAACATATTGCCTTTTCAAATGAAATATTAACTTCACATAGGTGGTTGGAAAAAAAAATAGGTAGATATTAGAAATAAATAGACACATTGTTCAGTAAACATACATTAATTACCAAGGATAAAAATGAGAAAAAAAAATTAATAAGTTATTAATTTTAGTAAAATGACAATAAAAAAAATGACAAATTCTGACAAAACGACTATAAATAAAAAAAAGAGGGAGTGTATTGTATTTTGACTTGTTATAATTCTAATATTCTAAATAGTACTGATTCTTGTTGGTTATTTTATTCATTAACTGAAAACCTTGTGTGAAGAGTTATTGGTCAATCGGTACGGTGGTCTCGTAAGTAGTCCTAGAAGTAAGGCAATGAATCCATTGCTAATTGAGGATTATTAAGGAGAGTAAATTTATTGGAAATTATTACAGTAGAACCCAAGGTAGTTAAGGTGTTTGGTAGTTTTTTAATCACTGAGGTGGGGATTTTTGGGATAATTTCTGAGGTAATTAATTTTTGAGAATGATGGGGCAAGATCATCTAAGGACAAACCCTTGGAGAGTTGTGTGATTGGTCTCATTCCCCTGTAAAAATTCTTTAGTTAAAAAATCTGAAATTGAATTATTTTTCCTATAATAAATTTTATTTCAAAATCAAAACATGATAACAAACTTTGCCATCTTGCAAAAATTTGTTTTGAAACAATATTTTTAACATCTTTTTTCTAAAACTTCTTTAGCTAATTTGCAATTAATACAAAATAAAAACTTTTTATTTATCAAATCATTTTGAAGTTTAGTAATGTACAGGACAACAGATAAAATTTATTTCTTAATAGTACTATATTTAAGTTAGTTTTCATTCCATGCTCCAGAATGAAACTTTACTATTTGTTCTGGGCTATTTCCTAATTGTTGTTTTAGAATGCCTCCAAAACTTAATTCTAAAGCATCCGTTTCTACTATTATAAAGGTGTCGTGATTAGCTATTCCTAAACAAGACAAAGACTTAAGTAAAACTTTAACTTCTTTCACTATCTATATATATATATATATACTCACACATGTGTGTATTATGTATTATTTATATTCTATTTATGAAAGTTTAATTATATGAATATAAATGGTGTTAAAAATTGTTATCATGTTAATTCAAATTCTTAAGCAAAAAATTCTAGGCAAAAAAATTTTAAAAATATTGAGTTACCGGATTAAATTAAAAATATTTGAATAAATTGATGATAAGTTAATTGATAAATGCAAAATGACATCTAATTATTTGATTTTAACCTTGCAAATTTTAACTTCTAATTTTTCGATTCGCATCTCCTAACTTATAGCTCATAAGTTTTGGCTAATATAAGTTATTCAATTTTTACTTAGGTTATATGCTAGTTTTATTAAACATGCTTCTAAAACAGCTTATCTCCCGATAGAGCATTTTCATCCTTAAAGTTGAAATTTAGTATGTATATAAAAAAGGCTAAATTATATTATTTATTTATTTTTAGGATTTAATTTTTTTTCACTATTTTTTAAATAATTGAATTTAGTCCTTTAATTTTCAAAAAAAAAATTAATGTTGTCATTCTATCCAAATTGATACTAATTGTAAAATTGATATTAACAGTATTAATAAAATTTAACAAAAGAAGAACATCAAACATTTTTAAAATTATTATAGAATAAAATTGAACCATTAAAAATAGTGAAATCAAATTAAACATTTCAAAAATAGAGGACCAAAATAAACAATAATTTATCTAAAAAAATATCATTTGCTTGTCTAGATAAATTTAAATTTTCTTTTACCTACTTGATGTGTTTCAAAAGTGCATTTTTATATATAATATCCATTTAATATAAATATATATTACTTTGACACTTTGAATGAAAATATAAAACCACTTTAATTAATTTTACAAATAATAATAAAATCATATGTTGAAGTGATAATGAATATTGAAAATTTTCAATTGAGATTTTTTTCTCTTAAAATTTAGATGAATTGAAAGTGAGTTAATTTGCTAACCTACTAACTCATTAAAATGAGTCACCCCTCAACCCACCACTAATTAGGATGAATAACATGTTTCAACCAATTTTCTTTGATGGGTCAACCTACCCTACTTTATTTCTTTACCCAACTTTAGATGAGTAGACTCACTTTGTCACCCCTAATATAAATATTATTCTTTAAATGACAAACTAAACATAAGAATTTTACATTTTCAACGTCTGATTCCAAAAAAAATATAAAAAAGAAATTGTATATGAAACTTCTGGTGAGAATATTTTTGTTAAAAGATAAAAGAAAAGGTTAGAAGTGACATGATAAAGAGGGTTGTGGGAACGCCCTTCACAAAATTGACCCATTGTACGACCAATGAGGCCACAATAAGTGCAAACAAGTTCTTTCTTCACTTTTGAGTTTGGGGCATTGAACTTTGTTGCAAAGGCAAGCTTTGTTTGCTAGTTTTGAGAGTTGTTGGAACCAATTTTCTTTCTCTATCTTCTTGAATTATTAAATAGAAAACATCGTCAATAAGATGATTAATGGTATTTAACCACGTATTTGTATTAATTAAACCATCAAGTCTCATGAATAATCTGCACAATCTGTTCTGTCAAAAAATATTCAAGGAAAGGTTCAGATCCACATGTTCCAAAATTCAGAGGTCTGTACTCATTCAGCTCCTCCCAAAATTGACTTCACCACAGTGAAAATATTAGTTGAAAGAAAGAAAACTAAATTTGATTTAGAATCATCATTACTCTCTTTAGTAGAAAAAGATAAGAGAACCATTTAGTTGACACTAATATTGGAAATCACACCATATTTCTTAGCAAACTGACAATAGATGACACTAAAAATGATGTATTTTGAGGCCAAATCCAAGGTTAAGGAAATACAAATCTGCATCGGAACAATCACTAAAAGAGTGTTGACTGTGGAAAAAGGGGGGTGGGGGATGAACACCAAAAGCAATATTTCCTTTAACACAAGAATGAGATTGACACCAGACTTCTCACAGTAAGCAATAGTTTCAAGAGTGTGTCCATATAATACAAATACTTATTTTTCCTTTTGTTTCTTTTGGAGTGATCTACAACAATACATTCGTAAATAACCTTTTGAAGCTAAGAATGCTTCTTTTGTTTCTTTTCCTGCCACTGTTTGATATCAGCATCTATCCTTGCCTTCACCTTTGTATTGAATCCCGGATACGGTTCATATCCAACACATGATTGTAGGGCCTGCAAAAACCAATAACATGAAACACACACACCCGGTTTCAATAGTCAAGTCCAAACGCACAAGGCAAAAAAAAACAAACAATCACCTCAAGCAAGACGAAGAAAGGCGCCATCAGAAAAGCTTGCACAAGGTTGTCCAACAGAGCCGGTGCACGTTTCTAACAGAAAGAAACAAACAATCAAAACCAAAACCCACAAACCCCTTAGCCAATCAAAATCCACAAACCCCCTTACCTCAAACACACCATGACCAATAAACTGTCCAGTCCAACAAAGCAATTGAGCAGGCAACACAACCTAACACCACAAACAAAACATGAAATCGCGCAATTGATGCATAGGGAAACCTATTTAACAGTCAGAAGCTGCAGCATTAAACATAATGTACAAGCCGAAAACCCTAAATAGTGAAATACCTTCCAAGCGAGGGAAAAGGAGAGGGAATCGGCGACGAAGCTGGAGAGGAAGTAGCAGAAGAAGGTGAGGGAAGCGGCGAGGGAACCGGCTCTGCGATCCATAGCGATGTAGAAGAGGGCGTAGAAGAGGGTGGAGAAGAAGCAGAGGTTGAGGGGAAAGAACCCTAGCGTGAGGAGGGGAGGGGTGAAGTGGAGGAGGATTTGGGCCGTGAAGAGAATGGGCCAGACGAAGACGGTGTGGATGGCAACGTTCACCTCGTTGCTGTGGTAGGCGCCGTAGAAGGCGAAGTGCTTCTCCAGATCCACCAGGCCCATAACCGAATCCATGGTTTCCCAATTCACCTTCGACTTCCCCCTTTGGGGCTGTTATTACTTATTAATGTCAAACACGTAACTACTAACTACGTAGGGGGATTCCAATGTGTTCCGTAAACTCTTTAATTTCTCTTCTGACTTCTAAGGCGTGCCATGTCTGGATGTCAAACACATGACATCGCCGCATACGTAACTCACGACCATAGATTTCGCATCACAACATCGCCCTGGATTCAAGTGTTTGTGTTTCATCGCTTTCTTTTTCCTTTTCAGGATTTCCTCTATGCTTCACTCACTCATCCTTAACCCTAGATATATATTTTAAATCATCAACGGTTCAGATTTAGATTAGATTAGATTACTATTTTATTGAGATACATATATTAAATGTAAATTAAATTAATTTAAATGTTGAGTTGAGTGTCAATTTTATTCTTAAACTAGTATTACTAAAGTGTTTTTTTTTTTTTTTGCCCTCGGACATGGAATTCTACTCATTTGAAGACCTATTACAGTTAGAATTTAACTCATGTACATCTGAAAATGTATAATGATGCACTCTTTTCCTTGAACCAGTCTTTTTTCCTCTTAAAAAATTGTGAAAAGAGGTTTTGGCCGGCAAAGTTTTTAACGAGGCATCCACTCAATCAATAACAAGACAGTTCAACTATCTATCACTTGTGTTACATTGTCGCGATTTTATTTCATATTACAAGTCTTCCCTCCCGAGATGTCTCTCGGCCAAGGATGTGGCTTACGTTAAAAATTTTACAAGTCTTCCCTCCCGAGATCTCTCTCGGCCAAGGACGTGGCTTCAATTATTTTACAAGTCTTCCCTCCCGAGATCTCTCTCGGCCAAGGACGTGGCTTCAATTATTTTACAAGTCTTCCCTCCCGAGATCTCTCTCGGCCAAGGACGTGGCTTCAATTATTTTACAAGTCTTCCCTCCCGAGATCTCTCTCGGCCAAGGAC